TAATAAGTCTTGAATTATAACATCATTTTCATTTGTTCCAGTCCTGTATCAGCCCAATTGACACACATTTTAGCATTTTTTATTACTTCTTCCATGTCGTGTTGTTCCTTTTTCAGTGCATCATAAGTTGAATTAACCATTCCTTGTGCTTTCGGTCTGTTTTCACAGAAATCATAAACCAGTCGGACTCAGAGCCAATTTCATTCGTTGAAAATAGTCAGAAAACTGTTTGTTAGCGCTTTGTACCAATCAAAAACGCTTGACTGGTTTGTGATTTCTGTGAGAACCGGCCTTATTGAAGCTGTCTGTTTGGAGGTATCTTGATAAAGGTTCTGTGGTTTTGGAGATCGGCCCACTCCCCGATCGGCCCACCGGGGATTTCCCGGTATTCCGGTGGGTTCATCCAACCCTGTGTATCAGGTTTTAAGTTAAAATTTATAATTTGTGTTTTTGCTACATTGAGCTATTATTTGTGAACCAATTTTCGAGAGTTGAAAGGAAATCTTGGACATTTGTTATGCAAGCGTTTTGTTTTTTCACAGCAGATGACAGAAGTATCATTCGCAAAAAAGCACCCCCTCGCTAGCTGATATGTCGTCAACCTCATTTGTATAAATGAGGTAGAGTCATGAACCTAGGATCGATCCCTGGGGCACACCTTTTGTTATTGTTGAGAAATCTGACTTTTTTAACTCACCAATTTGGTTTTCATTAATCACACTTTGTTTTCTATGTGTTAGGTATGATTGGAAAAGTTTGTGAGTTCGACCGCGTACCCCAATTCTCTCTAGCTTCCGACAGAGCAAACCATGGTCCACGCTGTCGGAAGCTTTTGGAAGGTCAAGGCAGGCAGCCATTGTCACGTTGTTTTAATTGCGAGACTCCAGGATTCGATCTAATGCCATATAAATAGCCCTTAATGTTGATTTTCCCTTCCTAAATCCGTTTTGTTTTTCGCTGAGTTTGAATTTTCCTCAATAAAACTTAAAAGACTGACAAAAATTACTCTCTCAATTATTTTACTAAAAATGCACAACAAGGAAATAGGTCGATAGTCCTTAGGTCATTCAATGGACCCTTTTTTTGAATGGCTTTAAGTAGAGCAGTTTTCAAATTTGACGGAAAGATACCAGTTTGCAAAGACAAGTTTACCAGCTTGCGAACTATTATATTCATATACAAGCTCAAACTAAATGTATAATATACATATAAAGGTTGCTTTACTCCCATTCCAGACATTCATTGACATCGTGTAATGCATAGAAAAACCATTTGGCATTTTTCATGTCATAATTTTGTATTGATACGAAGCTACTTTTATTTAACACTAACTTTCTTGGAAATAAAAAATATATTTTAATTTTTTTCTGATCCCTCGTCAGTATTATATTTTGACGGATCTTGGCATGCCGCTTGCTATTTACCTTATCAATTCAAATATCTTTTTTATTTTCGCGCCTCAACTAGCTTAATCATTCAAATTATTAGCATCTGAATGCTACTTGATATTCTTGGCCAATTTTTCTTGAACATCCCTATTAACTTCTTTTTTGTAAAAAACAATCGTAGAAAAATTGTGCATCATTAAACTTCGATTCGTTCCCAAAACAAAGCAAAGCCAAAGCCCAAGACCATTTTATTGTTCAAAGTTTAGTCGAGTAAAGTAAAAGGAAAGGAGGATGGCAGTAATTTCACGAGCGCTTAAATGCAATTACGTTAATCTAAGAGCATGAGAGAGGAAGAAGTTGCCGTTTCATTTAGTCAAAAAATGCTTTATTTCAGACTTAGCTGATGCCTTTAATGAATTTTAGCTCATAAATTTAACACCGTCGCTACCGGTTAGAGGAAAGAAACAGTGTAATTAGAATAATAAACTAGTGCTACAAACAATATAACAAGGCCTGGCATTTTTTGGTGGCAAGTAATTGCTTTTTTTTACTACTAACCTGAGAAATTGTCATTATTCAATCTATTTTTCTAGGAAAAAATTGAATTTCTCTCCCTAGGTGAATAAAAATACCTAGGTTAATAATGAAAATGACGTCATGACGCAAGGATATTGTCATGTTTCTATTGGTTCAATTTCATTTCCATACGTCAATTTGAAAAAAAATACAGGTTTCTGTAGGTACATAGGAAGTTATCATAAGCTGTTGATAGAGGGCAGTACTTTCAAGAGGGCGTTCAAAAAAAAATAATTGGAGCACAGATTTTAAACAAATTTTTCATTTTCTACTAGCAGTAGTAAAAAAAATTCTATATATTCCTCGGTAGAGAAAGTCATTATATACCTCACTCATTATAAACCTCGGCGCGAGCGCCTCGGTTTATAAAAGCGCTCGGTATATAAGGACCAACTTCTCTACCTAGGTATATAATATACTATTAAGCACTCGTGAAATCACTATTTGGCTTACCTCTATTTCTAGATGACAAAAGGAATTGAAAATGTTTCGATTGCGCAAACGAACTCTATTGAAGCAAAATTTTATAGGGTCTGCTCTGAAGGAGAAATATTATTAGCATTTAGAGGAAATTAAACTGAAATGGATGCACTATTCATATTTATTTGAAATTTATTTAAATAGGAGGGTCGAACATGGTGCATTTATTCTCATGTAGATTATAATATCCGCTTTAAAAACCAATGTACAAAACTGTCAACAACTATAACTACATGCAATAAAAGTGAAAAAGAAAATAATTTAAATGCAAAACAAAATTAAATTTGGTTTGTTATAATTAAGAAAAATTAGGATGCTGAATAAGTTCTGCTGATTCTTCTCTTTAAATTGCTTAAGTTTAAGTTAAATCCAAAGTAAGTTTATCATCCGACGAAAAGGGAAGAGTGGAAATAAATCACTTTGTACAGAGTGAAGTGCAAATTCAAGTTCTCCCAGCTGCAACTTTTTCCCGTAATTAATTAAAGTGTTTTCTGATTTAAATAATGTTTTCTCTTTTTGCTGAATTTTATGTGGCCTCATTATTCTCCAGAGACCTCAAATTTTAAAGGAGTGAATCATAAGCTGAGTAAAACTCAAAACGAAAAGTTCTTAAGCGTATGCAGTTTTTGTTGACGAAAACGTTTTCCTCCTTCTCCTTACAACAGAAAAAAACATTCCATACATCTTATTAAAATAATAGAAGATTCCGACAAGATAATGAAAACTAAAAAGTAATTTACGTTACAGCTCCGGTAAGTAACTTACTAAAGTTTTGAATTCCTGAACGAGTACTTTTATGATGTGTATCGTATAATCTTTCATTTAATTTCGTTAATTCTATGCTTTTATCATACTGCTAGATGAAGTCAAAAGAAACACAAAGTCTTCCTCCACACAAATTTTTATTTGAAAAATTGAAGAGCCATACTTGTTTCGAAGCTATAATAGAGCTTTATCATCAGGGGCAAGTTTGCTCATTTAATTTGAAGCCGCTGAATTTAGCATTTGGTAGAGGCAAAACAAAAAGATTGAGGAAAAACATCTACATTTAGACAAAGGAGATTTAATTTGAATTGGTACTAATAAAACTAATAATTAGTTTAATTCATGTTTTACGTTTTATGTTTTTAAAATGTCTCCACAATTTTAACTAGTACCTGTGGCATAGCGTACTTGAGCCGGAAACGCCGTCGAGAGTCGGGATAGCAGCCCTTGGCCAGGGCCCAGCAGTTGATATCAGTTAAGCGTACCACAAGCTGCTAGATGGTGACGGCGGTAATTTTTTTCGAGTTTCGGGCGAAAAGTACTGGTAAAAATAGTACATTTTCGTTCGATTAGTGACTTATCGACTCTAGCCACTTTAGTGAAGTACTCCCACAGGGTATAGTGCGGATTTTTAGTGTGAAAACGGTGAAGACCTTGGCGGCCTGCAAAACGCAGAACCCAGCCAGGTGTTTGAGTTTCGGGTGAATGCGACGGAACGATAGCTTCGATGTTGCCAGATCCACTACAACATCGGTAGACTGTAAGATATTTTTTTTTCTTTTGAAGAAAGTAGACTTTTTGGATTGTTTTGTTGTAGCAACTTCACATTTTTCAATCATGGCTAGTGAATAGGAAAATGATATTAGATTGAGTGCGGACGAATTTAATCAGCAACAAGACTTAATAAATCAGTTATTAAGATTGCAGCAGCAGCAATTACTAAATGCAGGAAACACAGCCTCGGCACCGGTGATTATGCATCAGGCCACAATTCCCCCTCCATCTCACTTTTCTTTTCAAGCTGACGACTGGGAAGACTGGAAAAATTCATCTAATAGATACAAAAGAACAGTCCTTAGTAATCATTCGTCAGAATAGCAAGTTGACTATCTGATCAGTTTTTTAAGCACAAAACAGCTGAGAAAATCTTAAAATCATTTCTTCAACAAGCAGATTTCAACACTGTAACCTCAAAATTTGACAGTTATTTTATCCGAAAGAAAAATCTTGTATACGAGAGGGTCAAATTTTTGCAAAGGTCACTGAACCCAAACGAGCCTTGTGACTCTTTCATTACAGGTCTCACCGCTATGGCCCAAAATTAGAATGGGACAATTTGGAGAAAGAAATTATTAAATTAAGAATAATAGCAGGGCTATCGAATAATAGATTATCACTACAGCTATACAAGCATGCCCAGATGACACACTGGAAGATATGGTAAGGCGTGCCAGATTGGCCGAAACTTTGCATAAGCAACAAGCATCAGTGAGAACCAATCTTCCTACTCCAAACTAACCCAAAATCATTCAGTAAGGGCAACTCAAATTATGAGGAGAATCCAAAATCAAATACAGAGACAAAAGATTGCCGAAAATGTGGGAGAACTCCAAGGCACACATTCGTTGGTTGTCCTGCAAGAAAGGATGAATGCAACAGGTGCGGAGAAACAGGGCACTGGGCGGTAAAGTATAGCAGTTCAAAAAGTGAAAGAGGCTTCAGACGCGATCAGGACCGGCAAACAATAAATAATGTAATTGCTTAGGACTTTGCTCCTTTTTCCCCCTTCAGCGAAGACGAATTCGCTTTTCTGGACTTGGTAAAAGCTGGTAGGAGTACTGGTCCATGGCATACCGTGATTTCCAAAGATGGCATTCCAATAAAAGTGAAAATTGTCACTGGAGCAAATGTGGCCGTAATGAAAAGCGACAGTTTGTCAAATTTGAAAAATATCAAATTTGTCGATTCACAGAAAATCCTCTGGAAATAAAATCGAGGTTTTAGGCACCTTTGAACCGTTCATTGCATGGCAAAATCAATGTTACGACGGCCGTGTTTATATTGCAAATAATTTGCATGAAAATTTACTAGGAAGAGACGCTGTAGCATCACTAAAGATTAGCTTGGACAAATGCGATCTCTGACACGAATGCTATCAGTAAGGAGTTTCCAACCCTATTCGAAGGCATCGGAGATGTAGGAGAAACGTATTAAATACATTACTTTAAGAGAAGGAACGAAGCCATTTGCAATTTCTACGCCACGTAGAATTCCTATCTCTTTGCAAGAAGCTACGAAAGAACATTTGAACATCTTAGAAAGCCGATCAATAATATACAACGTTATAAAGAGCCAACCCCTTGGTGAGCACCAATGGTGGTGGTGCCAAAAAAGGATGGCACTATCAGAACATGCGTAGACTATACAGTTCTCAATAAAAATGTGGAACTAGAAAGATTAGTATTACCGGATGTTGAAGAAGCATTGTCCCAAATTGAGGCAGGCTCTCACTATTTTAGCACGCTAGACGTCATATCTGGATTCTATCACATTCCACTGGACAATGAATCGCAACTGATAACAACATTTATAACGCCACTTGGCTATGCATTCAAACGCTTGCCGATGGGAATCACTTCGGCAACAGAATGGTTTCAAAGACAAATGTTACAGATTTTGGAAGGACTAAAGGAAGTATTCAATGTAGCAGATGACATATTAGTATTTGGTTAGAACAAGGATGAACACGACTCTTGTTTGAAGGCCGTGCTAACACGTTTCCAAGAAAAAAATATAAAACTAAATAGAAACAAATGCGAATTTGGAAAGAAAAAAGTGACATTTCTATGCCATAGCGTTTCAGATTCAGGAATTGAAATCGATGAAGAGAAAATTCACATGCAACCCCCCAGCGATATAAGCGGAGTTAGAAGATGGGCTGAATACAGGTCAACACTAAATTCCTTCCAGGATTAGCGGAAATGTCCGACCCCATAAGACAACTGTTACGAAAAAACAACGAATTTATGTGGGCAAAGCCGCAACGAGCATTTGAAAGCATCAAAAAAGGTCTTACGACAGCTCCAATTTTAGCACATTTTGCTCCAGGACGTCCAACAAGTCATAGCGGACGTCAGTTCATATAGTCCTGGAACAAATGGATAAGAAGTCTGGAAACCTATCGGCTATGCATCCAGGACAATGTCCGACACAGAGAAACGATATGCGCAGATAGAGCGAGAAACATTGTCTTTGACTTGGACCTGCGAAAAATTCGCCCAATACCTTCTTGGTCAAACATGTATGCTCCTGACTGACCACAAACCCCTAGTGGAACTTCTAGGAAGCAGACAATTATCTGATCTATCAGCTAGAATCCAAAGATTCCGAATGAGATTGATGCGATTTTCGTATGATGTACAGTATATTATTGGCAGAAACATGATAATGCCTGACGTATTATCCAGGGCTCCACTAAAATCCAGTGATCTTGAACCAGATATTTCATTCGTCAACGAAATCATAGAAAAAGTGGAAGATTTTGCAAGTCGTATTTGTGAATCAATGCCTATCAAGGACATGCCCATAAAAAGTATCTTGGAATATCAGAAGAATGATGTCCAAACCAAAAGAATGATAACTTGGTTGGCCACACATTAGGGATTTACCAACGGAAGAGAAAATTTGCTACCAATATCAAGGACAGATGGTTATATTGGATAGGTTAGTAACTCGCAACAATAGAGTATTCATCCCGACGACATTACGCAAGGAAATATTGGACAAAATACACGAGGGTCATTTGGGCATAAGGATATGTTTAAGTCTAGCCAATGAACCGGTATGGTGGCCCAAATCTAAAAACAAATCGGAGTTGATTTATTCGTGGCCAACAACAAACATTATCTTAAGATTTATAGAGGTTGCCAACTTAAATTCAGAAACTGCTGTAGATGTCATAAAGAACCTGGAACCCATGTTGTCAAGATGAACATTAGATCAGATTATGGGTCTTGTTTTTCTAGCCACATATTCAAACAATTTGCTCAGGCATGGATTCAGTCACATCACAAGCAGTCCTAGATATCCTCAATCAAAAAGGCCGGCGAAATGCGGTGTAAAAATAGCCAATAATATAATTTTAAAATGCAAAGACTGAAACTTAAGTTATAGAACAGCAAAACTAGAGAGTGGATTTTCACCAGCAAAACTGATCATGGGAAGAAAACCTAGGGATTCAACTCCAGCTGAGCTAGCAAAGACCCCTAAGTGAAACTACAAAAACGACTTCAAGGAAGTCAGAAGCAACGAACAAGAAGTTCAAACATTGAATTTTAATGAGCGACATAGAGCAAGATCAAATTCTACCTTAGAAAATAACGAAAAAGTTTGCATACCCGATTTGAAAATGTTTGGGAAAGTAATGGATGATGAATGTTGGACCTGAACCTAGAAAATACATTATCGCCGCAGAAAATAACGTGATTAGGCAAAACAGATGCCAAGTTATAGAAGTAACCTCAAAAGCGATGATAAGACTAGAGCAAGGGACAGATACTCGATTAGAGATGTCCAATTGGGAACTCCCCGAAAGTTGCAATGATGAGTCAAGCTCAAAATCAGAGGGTGACGATGGAGGGGATGATACGAACACAGAAAACGGTTCAGCCGCATTACAAAGCAGTGGACCAGAAATTGAAGGCAATAGCTCCGGAAGTGACAATGACTCCAACCACTCCATAATATCTAAGCCAGGCTTCAAGGAGAAGATGAAGAAGAAGTCTATAACTCCACTCACCAGAGATACACCACCAGATAAGGAAGACTAGTCAAGCCGGCACGTCGTTGCACCTGCAATGGAATGTTTGGTGAAGAGTAGTTAAAACAAAAGTGAGAATGAACATTGTACAGTGTATATAGTGAATTAGTGTGTAGTTTTATCCATAACATTAATATACCCAGTATAAATAGGACAAACAATGGTTTAGGGCTAGTCGCGTTGAATTCGACTCGAGTGCTAAGTTAAAAGGACACTCATTTGGTGAAAAGGGAGAATGTGACATAGAGTATTTGAGCCGGCAACGCCGCTCAAGAGTCGGGCTAGCAGCCCCGACGCAGGGCTCAGCAGTTGATATCAGGTCAGCGGACCACAGCCTCCTACAGTACCCGTTTAAATTAAATATCCTTTGTCTAAATGTAGATGTTTTTTCTCAATCTTTTTGTTTTTCCTCTACCGAGCAAACCTGCCCCTGATGATGAAGCTCTATAGCTTCGAAACATGTAGGGCTCTTTAATTTTTCAATTAAAAATTTGTGTCGAGGAAGACTTTGTGTTTCTTTTGACTTCAAATTTCAACTCCACTCTGAGTCATGGACTTCTTTTTCAATTTAAATACTGCTAGATGTATATTTTTTTTATATATACCTATCTACCTATTTTGTTCACATGTCTGATAGAACGAGACTTTTGAGATCCGTGTCATTTGACAACACTTAAAATAAATGTTTTTTGACACTGTTGCACATTGTTCACAGACCAGCCTTTAACATACTCGACTCAACCAAATTATTACCGCCTCGTTGAATCACATATGCTACGCAGAAAAAACTCCTGAATGAAAGTAGTCATTGTCCAATCTATAAAATCCCCTCATTTTATATTGGATTTTCTTTTGAACTTTCGATAAACGCTCAACTGAAATCCAGAAAGGAGCTTATAATAATTATTTTTCTGCAAAAAGAAAATGTATTTTACTTTTACAAATTAATTTGTTCACTGTAAAGGTTTCGCCATTCCCACCGCTTGCAGTTTTACAAAATACTAATTTTGAGTTACCTTTACGATCTGGTTTTTATGGACCGATTTTGAATTATACTTGCCAATTATAGAGAGAACTTCAATATGTTCAGGAAAAAAACATGTTGTTTCATATAGGTGAGCGATGTATGAAATGAAATCTTGAGGGAAAAGCATAAGAAATTCTTATTACTTTCAGTACAGAAAAAATCTCTAAAAAAAAAGTGTAGTTTTAAACGCAACCGGCTCAAGAATTTTCTAATTTTTTTTTGCCACTTTCATATTTTTAAAGTTCAGGGTGACTCAGATTAAAATTACCTTTTCGAACGCGCCTTGTACATCCAACCTGATATTTGTGGGTGGTTAGCGCTGGCAATTTGCGGAGACTGCATGCGAATTATCAGTAATCATGGAGCAGTGGTCGAAAGAGCAACGCGCGTTTATGGTCGGAGCGTTTTTTAAATCGAACGATTCCTATGGCGCAACACACCACATTTTTGTAATTGTTAAAGTACGGTTTGTTAGGACAGTGCGCGACGTACAACTCACAACGTAAACGTTAGCAAAATCTATTTAGCACGATGTTGACACACTACTGACGCTGTACTGCGCTGTACGTCGCGCTCACCTGCGCAAACCCAAAAAACCGGTTCATATAATTTACACTGGGTTGATTTTAGTAGACATGCGTCGCGTTTGACAGAATGTGAGTTGTGCGTCGCGCAATGCCCTAACAAACCGTGCCTTTACAATGTTCGACGTATACGTGATGCTCCGTCAAGAAATTTATTAAAATCGTGGGTTCAAAGATTCAGACAAAGTGATACAGTGGCAAATCAGAAGTATCTCTGCCATGTTTTCGAATTGAGCCCCTCGGCTTTTCAGTCGCAGCACGTCGTACAATTTCAATGGCCTCTGGTATTCTGATGGACTTCTGCTAGCCGAGATGCTTCTGATTTGCTACTGTACCACTTTGTCTGAATCTTTGAACCGACGACTTCAATTAATTTTTTGAAGGAGCATCAACTTATACGCCGGATATTGTGAAGGTTACAAAAACGTCGCCGTGCCAGGACATAGAAATCGTTCAATTTTAAAAACGCCTCGACTAAAAACGCGCGTTTCTCGTTCGCCCACTGCTCTATGTTTACTGATAATTCGCAAGCAGTCACCGCAAATTGCCAGCTTATCCCC